ATTTTGTCCAAATTACTTCGCCCATACCCAGTTCTAACCCTTCCTCGCACTACCCAAAATATTAAATTATTCCAGAAAAAAAAAAAGAAGTAACAATTTACAAAAACAACACGCAACAATTTTTTTTTAACTTTTTTTAAATATGTATTTTATTATTTAAAGTTTTTTTTTTCTGTTAAATAACAACAACATACATAAAAAGGCAAAAAAGGTTACATTACAAAGCAAAGTAACAATTTACAAAAACAATATGCGACAATTTTTTTTTTGTTTTTTTTAACTTTTTTTTTAATATGTATTTTATTATTTAAATTTTTTATTTTTTGTTAAATAACAACATACATGGAAAAAAAAAATTGAGGCTAATTTCACTGATAATTAATTAAAAGCAAAATGTATTATTTTGTCCAAATTACTTCGCCCATACCCAGTTCTAACCCTTCCTCGCACTACCCAAAATTATTAAATTATTCCAGAAAAAAAAAAAGAAGTAACAATTTACAAAAACAACACGCAACAATTTTTTTTTTACTTTTTTTAAATATGTATTTTTATTTAAAGTTTTTTTTTTTCTGTTAAATAACAACAACATACATAAAAAGGCAAAAAAGGTTACATTACAAAGCAAAGTAACAATTTACAAAAACAATATGCGACAATGTTTTTTTTGTTTTTTTTAACTTTTTTTTTTAATATGTATTTTATTATTTAAATTTTTTATTTTTTGTTAAATAACAACATACATGGAAAAAAAAAATTGAGGCTAATTTCACTGATAATTAATTAAAAGCAAAATGTATTATTTTGTCCAAATTACTTCGCCCATACCCAGTTCTAACCCTTCCTCGCACTACCCAAAATTATTAAAAATTATTCCAGAAAAAAAAAAAGAAGTAACAATTTACAAAAACAACACGCAACAATTTTTTTTTTACTTTTTTTAAATATGTATTTTATTATTTAAAGTTTTTTTTTTTTTCTGTTAAATAACAACAACATACATAAAAAGGCAAAAAAGGTTACATTACAAAGCAAAGTAACAATTTACAAAAACAATATGCGACAATGTTTTTTTTGTTTTTTTTAACTTTTTTTTTTAATATGTATTTTTATTATTTAAATTTTTTATTTTTTGTTAAATAACAACATACATGGAAAAAAAAAATTGAGGCTAATTTCACTGATAATTAATTAAAAGCAAAATGTATTATTTTGTCCAAATTACTTCGCCCATACCCAGTTCTAACCCTTCCTCGCACTACCCAAAATTATTAAATTATTCCAGAAAAAAAAAAAGAAGTAACAATTTACAAAAACAACACGCAACAATTTTTTTTTTACTTTTTTTAAATATGTATTTTATTATTTAAAGTTTTTTTTTTCTGTTAAATAACAACAACATACATAAAAAGGCAAAAAAGGTTACATTACAAAGCAAAGTAACAATTTACAAAAACAATATGCGACAATTTTTTTTTGTTTTTTTTAACTTTTTTTTTTTAATATGTATTTTATTATTTAAATTTTTTATTTTTTGTTAAATAACAACATACATGGAAAAACAAAAAATTGAGGCTAATTTCACTGATAATTAATTAAAAGCAAAATGTATTATTTTGTCCAAATTACTTCGCCCATACCCAGTTCTAACCCTTCCTCGCACTACCCAAAATTATTAAATTATTCCAGAAAAAAAAAAAGAAGTAACAATTTACAAAAACAACACGCAACAATTTTTTTTTTTTTTACTTTTTTTAAATATGTATTTTATTATTTAAAGTTTTTTTTTTCTGTTAAATAACAACAACATACATAAAAAGGCAAAAAAAGGTTACATTACAAAGCAAAGTAACAATTTACAAAAACAATATGCGACAATGTATTTTTTGTTTTTTTTAACTTTTTTTTTTTAATATGTATTTTATTATTTAAATTTTTTATTTTTTGTTAAATAACAACATACATGGAAAAAAAAAAATTGAGGCTAATTTCACTGATAATTAATTAAAAGCAAAATGTATTATTTTGTCCAAATTACTTCGCCCATACCCAGTTCTAACCCTTCCTCGCACTACCCAAAATTATTAAATTATTCCAGAAAAAAAAAAAGAAGTAACAATTTACAAAAACAACACGCAACAATTTTTTTTTTTTACTTTTTTTAAATATGTATTTTATTATTTAAAGTTTTTTTTTTCTGTTAAATAACAACAACATACATAAAAAGGCAAAAAAAGGTTACATTACAAAGCAAAGTAACAATTTACAAAAACAATATGCGACAATGTATTTTTTGTTTTTTTTAACTTTTTTTTTTTAATATGTATTTTATTATTTAAATTTTTTGTTAAATAACAACATACATACATAAAATAATAAGGCAGAAAAAGTTACTTTACAAGGCAAACGGAAGATTTTCATAAAGGAACTTTTTTTTTTTTTTTTTTTTAATGGAAAAAAAAAAATTGAGGCTAATTTCACTGAAAATTAATTAAAGGCAAAATGTATTATTTTGTCCCTTATTTTGAGCCTTCTGCTCGTGCCCCCTCCCTCTCCTGATTGGCTCAGTGGCTGTCATTGACAGGAGCGGGAGCCGACGGCTCCCACTGTCGCCTCAGCCAATCAGAAGTGAGAGTCCCCAGAGCGCCGAGGTTCTCGTGGACATCGCTGGATGGAGAGGGGGGTTCAGGTGAGTGTTGGGGGGAGGGGCTACACACATAGAATGTATGAAGGTATAGAACCTCGAACCTTTACAACCGCTGTAGTCACTTCCTGCCCACGGCTGCAGTGCACTCGTCCAGTTCTGGGAGGGTGTCCCATGACATCCTCCCAGCACACGCCCCCCCCCCCCCCCCTCACACACACCCAGCGGCGTGCACCCGGAGCTTTCCGTGATCGGAAGGCCAATCACAGCTGATCATCATGTAAATACACATGAGGAAAGGACTGCTGAAGGAGAATCAGTGCAGCCCCTAAAGTGCCTATCAGTGTCCTTCAGTCCTGTCTATCAGTGCCCATCATTGCCGCCTATCAATGCCAATCAGTGCCCATCAGTGCTGCATATTAATGCCCATCAGTTCCTATCATTGCTGCCTATCAGTGCCGCTTATCAGTGCCCATCATTGCTGCCTATCAGTGCCAATCAGTACCGGTTATCAGTGCCCATCATTTCCACCTATTAGTGCCCATCAGTGCTGTATTACAGTGCCCATAATTTCAGCCTATCAATGCCAATCAGTGCCACCTATCAGTACCGGTTATCAGTGCCCATCATTGCCACCTATCAGTGCCCATCAGTGCTGCATTACAGTGCCCATAATTTCAGCCTATCAATGCCAATCAGTGCCACCTATCAGTACCGGTTATCAGTGCCCATCATTGCCACCTATCAGTGCCCATCAGTGCTGCATTACAGTGCCCATAATTTCAGCCTATCAATGCCAATCAGTGCCACCTATCAGTGCCCATCAGTGCTGCATATCAATGCCCATCAGTGCCTATCATTGCCACCTATCAGTGCCCATCAGTACTGCATTACAGTGCCCATAATTTCAGCCTATCAATGCCAATCAATGCCAGGGTCATGTGGGTATCAGTGCCCATCAGTGCCGCATATCAATGCCCATCAGTGCCTATCATTGCCGCCTATCAGTGCCAATCAGTGCCACCTATCAGTGCCTTTCAGTCCTGTATGTCAGTGCCCATCATTGCCACCTATCAGTGCCCTTCAGTCCTGTCTATCAGTGCCCATCATTGCCGCATATTAGTTCCCATCAGTACCACCTATCAGTGCCCATCAGTGCCCATCATTGCCGCCTATCAGTGCCCATCAGTGCTGCATATCAATGCCCATCAGTGCCCATCATTGCAGCCTATCAATGCCAATCAGTGCCACCTATCATTGCTGCCTATCAGTGCCCATCAGTGCCACCTATCAGGACCTATCAGTACCACCTATCAATGTCCATTTTTTTTTTTAACATAAAAAAGTAATTTTTACATATATTTGTAAATGCATTCCAATAAATAAATATATATATATTCTGAATGTTGAAATGCGTTTTTATTACAAAATATATGAAAAAGATGGGGGTCTGGGGGGGGGTGGGTGTGGGTGGGGGGGGGTGGGGGGGGGTGTACGGGGGCGGGGGGGTGTGGGGGTGGGTGGTGGTGGGGGGGGGTGTTGTGTGGGGGGGTGGGGGGGGGGGGGTGGGGGGGGGGGGGGGGTCTGTGTGGGGTGGGGGGGTGTGGGTGTGTGGGTGTGGTGGGTGGGGGGGGGGGGGTACGTGTGTGGGGGGGGTGGGGGGGGTGGGGGGGGTGGGGTGGGGGGTGACATTTGAGGTCACCGAAAGGAAAACTAGAATCCTCGAGGAACTTTTTTTTGTTTTTCTTTAAGTTGATACATTTTTGAATTGATGTTTTGTATCTTTTTTTTTCTGTTTCTAATAATGTTTTTATTTAAAAACATATGTTTAAGTTGCGCCGAGGACGCCGGATTCATAGAGCATCGCGGGGGAGTTTACGGGATCAAACCTGGAGCAGCTGTGCATGGCAACCAATCAGCTTCTATCTTCAGCCCAAGGGGGAGGGGGGGGGGTTGATCCCCTCCTACAATTTTTTTATTTACATAAAGATTAAAAATAAATAATTATTAAATTTTGGTATATATATATAAATAAATTTAATAATTATTTATTTTTAATCTTTATGTAAATAAAAAAATATACATATATATATATATATGGCCAAAAATATTGTCCCCGCCCTCCCAATCAGTGCCCGACTTGGACATGCTGAATCATGTACTAAATCGTTGTTGAAATGTTAAAATATTCCCGGTGAATCCACCTAAAGATGAACTCCTGAGCCCCAGGAAGATGACATTGTTTGACAAAAGCACGCCACGCTCCTGACGTCATCACGTATTACAGAGTCCAGAAGCGATCTGTGTATTCCCCTGGGAACACTCATACACTATATTACCAAAAGTATTGTCACCACCCTCCCAACCATGTGATTCAGGTGTTCCAATCCCCTCCCATATCATGTGATTCGGGTGTTCCAATCCCCTCCATGTCATGTGATTCAAGTGTTCCAATCCCCTCCCAATCATGTGATTCAGGTGTTCCAATCCCCTCCCAATCATGTGATTCAGGTGTTCCAATCCCCTCCATATCATGTGATTCAGGTGTTCCAGTCCCCACCATATCATGTGATTCAGGTGTTCCAATCCCCTCCATATCATGTGATTCAGGTGTTCCAGTCCCCTCCCAATCATGTGATTCAGGTGTTCCAATCCCTCCATATCATGTGATTCAGGTGTTCCCATCCCCTCCATATCATGTGATTCAGGTGTTCCCATCCCCTCCCAATCATGTGATTCAGGTGTTCCAGTCCCCACCATATCATGTGATTCAGGTGTTCCAATCCCCTCCATATCATGTGATTCAGGTGTTCCAATCCCCTCCATATCATGTGATTCAGGTGTTCCAATCCCCTCCCAATCATGTGATTCAGGTGTTCCAATCCCCTCCCAATCATGTGATTCAGGTGCTCCAATCCCCTCCATATCATGTGATTCCAGTGTTCCAATCCCCTCCATGGACACAGGTGTATACAATCCATCCCCTAGGCATGCAGACGGCTTCTACAAACATTGGTGAAAGAATGGGTCGCTCTCAGGAGCTCAGTGACTCCAAGCGTGGTCCCGTGATAGGTGGCCACCTGGGCAATAAGTCCATCTGTGACATTTCCTGGCTACTAAATATTCCACGCTCAACTGTTAGTGGGATTATAACAAAGTGGAAGCCACTGGGAACAACAGCCACTCAGCCACCAAGTGGTAGGCCAGGTCACATGACAGGGCGGGGTCAGCGCATGCTGAAGCGCACAGTGCGCAGAAGTCACCAACTGTCTGCAGAGTCAATAACTAAAGACCTCCAAACTTGGTGTGGCCTTCAGATGAGCCCAACAACAGTGCGTAGAGAGCTTCATGGAATGGGTTTCCATGGCCGAGCAGCTGCATCCAAGCCTTCCATCACCAAGTGCAATGCAAAGCGTCGGATGTTGTGGTGTAAAGTACGCCGCCACTGGACTCTAGAGCAGAGGAGACGTGTTCTCTGGAGTGACCAATCACGCTTCTTTATCTGGCAATCCGATGGACGTGTCTGGGTTTGGTGGAGGCCAGGAGAACGGTACTTGCCTGACTGCATTGCGCCAAGTGTAAAGTTTGGTGGAGGGGGGGATTATGGTGGGGGTTGTTCCTCAGGGGTTGGGCTTGGCCCCCTAGTTCCAGTGAAGGGAACTCTTAAGGCTACATTTTGGACAATTTCACGCTCCCAACTTTGTGGGAGGAGTTTGGGGATGGCCCCTTCCTGCTCCAACATGACTGCGCACCAGTGCACAAAGGTGGAGGAACTTGACTGTCCTGCACAGAGTCCTGACCTCAACCCCATAGAACACCTTTGGGATGAATTAGAGCGGAGACTGTGAGCCAGGCCTCCTCCCCCGACATCAGTGCCTGACCTGACAAATGTGCTTCTGGAAGAATGGTCCAACCTTCCCATAGACACCCTCCTAAACCTTGTGGACGGCCTTCCCAGAAGAGTTGAAGCTGTTATAGCTGCAAAGGGCGGGGCCAACCCAATATTGAACCCTACGGACTAAGACTGGGGGGCCATTAAAGGTCATGTGTGTGGAAAGGGTGGGGCCAACTCAATATTGAACCCTATGGACTAAGACTGGGAGGGGCCATTAAAGGTCATGTGTGTGGAAAAGGGCGGGGCCAACTCAATATTGAACCCTACGGACTACGACTGGGGGGCCATTAAAGGTCATGTGTGTGGAAAGGGCGGGGCCAACTCAATATTGAACCCTACGGACTAAGACTGGGAGGGGCCATTAAAGGTCGTGTGAGTGGAAAGGCCAACGCCCAATACTTTTGGCAATATAGTGTATATATATATACTAAGATGTATGCAAAAATAATACAAATATTCTGATAAGAATGAGGTTTCGGAGTGTCTGTAGGAGGGCAGCACTGATATCGGTGCCAATACTTGAACTCGTACAAATGCCCCGATACCTAAAACCAATACCTTTGCTGTTAAATGTCAAATACAAAGTGAACGGGCTCAAATCGCACTGTAAAAAAATGGCATACGATTTAAACGGGAATGCAGTTTGATTCCTGTCCGAATCGCATGCGTTTTCCTTCACTGCTCCTATGTGAACCCGGGTTTGTCACAGTGACTTCTGCCTGGGTTCACACAGGAGTGGTGAAGGAAAACGCATGTGATTCAGGCAGGAATCGCACCACATTCCTGTTAAAATTTGCATGTGATTCTTTCCGTTTATTTTGTATGGCTCAAATCACACTGCTGTATCGGTAATTGTTATCGGCGAGTACAGGTAGAAGACTAGGACAGCCAGGAAGGAAACCAAGGGTCAGGGCAGGTAGAAGACTAGGACAGCCAGGAAGGAAGCCAAGGGTCAGGGCAGGTAGAAGACTCAGATAGCCAGGAACAAAGCCAAGGGTCAGAGAAGGTAGAAGACTTGGATAGCCAGAAACAAAGCCAAGGGTCAGAGAAGGTAGAAGACTCGGATAGCCAGGAACGAAGCCAAGGGTCAGGGCAGGTAGAACACTTGGTTAGCAAAGAAGGTAGGCAAAGATCAGGGCAGGTAGAAGATTTAGATAGACTTAGATAGCCAGGAATGAAGCCAAGGGTCAGGTCAGGTAGGAGATTTGGATAGCCAGGAATAAAGCCAAGGGTCAGTGCAGGTAGAAGACTTAGATAGCCATAAATGAAGCAAAGGGTCAGGTAGGAAACTTGGATAGCCAGGGGTCAGGTCAGGCCGAAGACTTAGATAGCCAGGAATGAAGCCAAGGGTCAGGGCAGGTAGGAGACTTAGATAGCCATGAATGAAGCCAAGGGTCAGGCCAGGTAGGAGACTTGGATAGCCAGGATCAAAGCCAAGGGTAAGGGCAGGTAGACAACTTATATAGCCAGGAATAAAGCCAAGGGTCAGGCCAGGTAGGAGACTTGGATAGCCAGGAATAAAGCCAAGGTTCAGGGCAGGTAGAACACTTGGTTAGCAAAGAAGGTAGGCAAAGGTCAGGGCAGGTAGAAGATTTGGATAGCCAGGAAGGAAGCCATAGGTCAGGGTAGGTAGAAGACTTGGATAGCCAGGAACAAAGCCAGGGGTCAGGGCAGGTAGAAGACTTGGATAGCCAGGAACAAAGCCAAGGGTCAGAGAAGGTAGAAGACTCGGATAGCCAGGAATAAAGCCAAGGGTCAGAGAAGGTAGAAGACTTGGATAGCCAGGAACAAAGCCAAGGGTCAGAGAAGGTAGAAGACTTGGATAGCCAGGAATAAAGCCAAGGGTCAGAGAAGGTAGAAGACTCGAATAGCCAGGAACAAAGCCAAGGGTCAGAGAAGGTAGAAGACTTGAATAGCCAGGAACAAAGCCAAGGGTCAGAGAAGGTAGAAGACTCGGATAGCCAGGAATAAAGCCAAGGGTCAGGGCAGGTAGAACACTTGGTTAGCAAAGAAGGTAGGCAAAGATCAGGGCAGGTAGAAGATTTAGATAGACTTAGATAGCCAGGAATGAAGCCAATGGTCAGGCCAGGTAGGAGACTTGGATAGCCAGCAATAAAGCCAAGGGTCAGTGCAGGTAGAAGACTTAGATAGCCATGAATGAAGCAAAGGGTCAGGTAGGAAACTTGGATAGCCAGGAATAAAGCCAGGGGTCAGGGCAGGCAGAAGACTTAGATAGCCAGGAATGAAGCCAAGGGTCAGGGCAGGTAGGAGACTTAGATAGCCATGAATGAAGCCAAGGGTCAGGCCAGGTAGGAGACTTGGATAGCCAGGATCAAAGCCAAGGGTAAGGGCAGGTAGACAACTTATATAGCCAGGAATAAAGCCAAGGGTCAGGCCAGGTAGGAGACTTGGATAGCCAGGAATAAAGCGAAGACTTGGATAGCCAGGAACAAAGCCATAGGTCAGGGTAGGTAGAAGACTTGGAAAGCCAGGAATGAAGCCATAGGTCAGGGTAGGTAGAAGACTTGGATAGCCAAGAATGAAGCCAAGGGTAGACTCAGATAGCCAGGAACAAACCCAAAAGTCAGCATATGGGAATCAAAATAGGAAAGCAGACTGGAAGAAGAGCTTGGTGCCGAACGTGCAAAGGGCTGCAAAGACAGCGAGTCAAGAGCTTCACTGAATTAAAACAACCAAGGCAATGGTAGAAGCCTCTCTGATTAGCTGCAGCCTGACAGGGCAGAAAGGATGCCACTCTGATTGGCTGGAGCATGACTAAGAGACAGATAGCCAGGTTGGGCAGGAACTCATCATGTAGCTGAATTTATTAATCAGCAGGTGAGATCGACTGACACCTATAGCCCTCAGTGCTGCGCAGGAACAAGGTAAGAACATACATGCCCCTCCATGTGATGCACGCATGTGCACATAACATAGGGTTCCGGCAGTCTAGGGTAGACATGGTCTTTGTGGGAAGGTCTCAGGAGGCTACATACATAGTTATACCAAGAAAAAAACCAAAAAGGTGGTCGGAGTGTATATGCAACGCATCAGAAACCATCTCCTACCCATGCACCCTTGCAACCTCACCAACTGGTACCTTTTTCATAGGCTTTTTTGAGTTTGGGCAAGGACACAGGGGCCCCATGATACCCTATTGCCCGGGGGCCCCATGAGTTGTCAGTCCGCCCCTGCTTACAACTCTACTTCCTCCTCTCCTACGCCTCTTACTGTCGGGGTCCCCCAAGGTTCTGTCCTTGGACCTCTCCTCCTCCTCCTACTGTTGGGGTCCCCCAAGGTTCTGTCCTTGGACCTCTCCTATTCTCCATCTACACTTCTTCCTTGGGTCAGCTGATGGCTTCCCATGGTTTCCAATACCGTTTCTATGCTGCCGACACACAAATCTATTAATTAACATCTCTTCATTTCTTTTTTTGAAATTAGTTTCTGATCTTTGTCCACCCTATTATGTCTGGATGGATGTTTGAAGTCCATTGTTTCCTCTCTTAGGGTTGAGGACGTATCGGTCAAATAGATCTTTGTTGGGTTATATCCATATATCCTTCTAAAGCATTTAAACAGGTGAAATTGCCCAAAGTTAACCTTAACCTATTGAATTATGACTAGAGATGAGCGAAGTATTCAAAAATTCGATTCGACTGATTCGGCGAATTCGTGGAAAAAATTTCGATTCGAGTCGAATATATTCGCTGCGAATTTAACTCATAAAAGGGTGTTTCTAGGCTTCAGAGAGCCTTTATATTAGTGCAGAACACTGTACCTTTAATTTAAATGCCCTTGGAGTCTGCTGGGGAAGAGAAATAATACTGTCAGGCAGTATGACATGCAGATGAGTGCCGTCCATCTTAGAATCACAGCACACTTCACTCATTTGGGCAGTCACGGGGCCAAAAACCAGAGTGTGGAGCCACAGTGTGGCGGTGGAGGCAGCAGCAATGGGAGGCCATACAGCACCCTATGACAAAATGGAAACCAGCAGCAGTGTGAGAGAGACCTGAAAGTGGCACATGGCAGAGTGTGGCGATGGAGACAGCAGCAATGGGAGGCCGTACAGGGACCCATGACACACTCTGGACCTGGCAGCAGCATGAGGAGGCGGTACAGGGGCCCATGACAGATTACGGGCCTGGCAGCAGCATGAGGAGTTGGTACGGGGGCCCATGGCAGATTACGGGCCTGGCAGCAGCAATGGGAGGCCGTACAGGGACCCATGACACACTCTGGACCTGGCAGCAGCATGGGGAGGCTGCGGTACAGGGGCCCATGACAGATTACGGGCCTGGCAGCAGCATGAGGAGTCGGTACGGGGGCCCATGACACACTCTGGACCTGGCAGCAGCATGAGGAGGCGGTACAGGGGCGCATGACAGATTACGAGCCTGGCAGCAGCAACTTGGACAGGAGGACGTTCAGCTTCTGCACCGTCGGGTGCGTGCTCGCAAACTGTTGTCTCTTGGAAACGGATTTCAAGAAAGACTGCTGACGGGATCCGTGAAGAGGAGTAGCAGGAGAAGGAGCATCTGAACGAGCGGAATATGCCAACAAGCGACAACAGGGGCCCATGACAGATTACGGGCCTGGCAGCAGCATGAGGAGTCGGTACGGGGGCCCATGGCAGATTAGGGGCCTGGCAGCAGCTATGGGAGGCCCGTAATCTGCCAGCACCCTATGACAAAAAATGGAACACACCAGCAGTGTGAGGAGACCTGAAAGTGGCACATGGCAGAGTGTGGCGATGGAGACAGCAGCAATGGGAGGCCGTACAGGGACCCATGAGAGACTCTGGACTTGGCAGCAGCATGAGGAGGCGGTATAGGGGCCCATGGCAGATTAGGGGCCTGGCAGCAGCTATGGGAGGCCCGTAATCTGCCAGCACCCTATGACAAAAAATGGAACCCACCAGCAGTGTGAGGAGACCTGAAAGTGGCACATGGCAGAGTGTGGCGATGGAGACAGCAGCAATGGGAGGCCGTACAGGGACCCATGAGAGACTCTGGACCTGGCAGCAGCATGAGGAGCGGTTATAAGGGCCCATGGCAGATTAGGGGCCTGGCAGCAGCTATGGGAGGCCCGTAAATCTGCCAGCACCCTATGACAAAAAATGGAACACACCAGCAGTGTGAGGAGACCTGAAAGTGGCACATGTTTGGGGCATGATTCATGGCGGATTTAGTCAGTGTGTCAGGAACTGGTGGTTTGAAATCCAGACTAATCCACGCCTGATTCATTTTCACAAAACGTGAGTCTCCACACTTTGGGTGGACAGTCGTGTCCTCCGCGGAGTTGCAATACCTCCTGCCGCACTAAACACGCTCTCCGATGCCACGCTACTGGCCGGGCATGACAGCCTTTCAAGGGCAAATTCAGCTAGTTGGGGCCAAAGGTCAAGTTTCGTTGCCCAGTAGTCAAGGGGATTGTCTACCTCGGTTGGCAGGGTGCTGTCCAAGTAGGCCCAAGCCTGTTGTTTGAGGTCCTGCTCCAGGTCCACCTGATGCTGCTGCTGCTGCGGCTGGTTAGTAGTTTCCTCACTGCGCTGGTGAAGAAAGCTACTCATCATCGACTGCAGACTGAGGCAGCCGCTGCTGGTGGAGCTGCCACTGCTCCTACCACCCCACCCCTCCCCTGCTGCCATGGCAGCGGAACGCGAGCGCACAGTGCCCACAGTGTCTGAGGATGGACGTTGGCGCAGACAGGCAGAGACCAGCTGACTACATAGGTGGTTTTTATAGTACGTTATTTTGGCCTCCCTCTCAGCAGGTGTGAAAAAGGCCACCATTTTTGAACGGTAGCGAGGGTCCAACAAGGTGGACAGCCAAAAGTCATCCCTCTGTCTGATGGTTATTATTCGGCTGTCGCTACGCAAGCAACCGAGCATGCTATGGGCCATTTGTGCCAAGGAATGCGAGGGACTCCCTGCCTCCATCTCCACAGCATACTGCCACGGTGCGTCTGGGTCCTCTGTCTCCTCTTCCTCTCCTCCTCTACCAGATGCTCCTGCTCCTCCACTCCTGTCCGCTGAGTGGAAAAACCACCCATTTCACTCAATAATTCCTGAGCACCAATGTCCTCCTCTACCTCCTCCTCTTCTTCCTGTTCTGCCCCCACAGGGGTCATGTGGCGTTGAGATCTGTGCTCCACGTCTACCGCACCCTGACCAGCCATTGTTAACAGCATTTGTTCCAGGACGTGCAACAGAGGAATGACGTCGTTCATCCCATAGTCCTGCCGACTCACGAATAGCGTGGCCTCCTCAAAGGGCCTGAGCAAGCGGCAGGTGTCACGCATGAGCTGCCAATGGCTGACATCGAAGTTACACAGGGAGTACCTTTATCCGCTTGTAACATCAGGAAATCGGTGATGGCCTTTCGCTGTTCGTAAAAGGCGGTCTAACATATGTAGGGTTGAATTCCACCTTGTTGCAACGGCGCAGATCAGGCGATGCTGTGGAATTCCGTTCTGCCGCTGCAGCTCAAGGAGGGTGTGCTTTGCGGTGTAGGAATGGCTGAAATGCATGCAAAGTTTACGTGACATTTTAAGGATGTCTTTGCAGTGGGATGGTGGATTTTAGGAACCGCTTGACAACCAGATTGAACACGTGAGCCATGCATGGCGCATGGCACAACCTTCCTTGACGCAGAGCAGACACCATGTTCTTTCCGTTGTCGGTCAACATGGTTCCGATTTTCAGTTTGCGCGGAGACAGCCATCTGTCAATTTCTCTGTTCATTACACTGAGAAGTTCCTCCCCTGTGTGACTACGTTTGCCAAGGCATACCAGGTGCAGCACAGCGTGACACCGTTGCGCCCTGCACATGTGATATGCCGGTCGGGTAATGGGACTTGGCACGGGGGTGGCGGCTGAGGACACGGCGGAAGAAGAGGTGGTAGAGGCGGACATGTTTTGTGGACCAAGGACGTGCAAACGTGGAGGCAAAAGCAAGCGTGACCTGTCCAAGTTGCTGGTGCGGCTGTGACGGCACCACGTTCACCCAGTGGGCCGTAAATGACATGTACTGTCCCTGACCGTAGTTACAGCTCCACACGTCGGCGCTGCCGTGCACTTTGGCAGAGACCGACATGCTCAAAGATTGGCCCACCATCTCTTCTACATGTGAATGCAGGCTGGCACTGCCTTTTTGGCGAAGAAATGACGGCTTGGCACTCTCCACCGCGGCGCGGCACAAGCCATCATTTCTCGGAAAGGTGCTGAGTCCACCACTTGGAAAGGGAGGGACTGCAGCACCAGCAACTTGGACAGGAGGACGTTCAGCTTTTGCACCGTCGGATTCCAAGAAAGACTGCTGACGGAATCCGTGAAGAGGAGTAGCAGGAGAAGGAGCATCTGAACGAGCGGAAGATGCCAACGAGCGACAACTCCCCTCAGCAGAGGTGTTGGAGCCTTGACTGGCTGATAGAGGGCGATTGACGTCGGGTGACGGAGCAAGTAACGGAGCGGGTGATGGAGCGGGGGCTGGGGCAGGCAGAACCGCCGTATCTTTATCACGGTTTTCCCAGGCCACCAAATGGCGACGCTGCATATGCTGCTGCAACGCTGTAGTCCCAACATGGGCCCCCTGGCCACGCTTGACTTTCTGGCCACATAGTCGACATACGGCTACGTTTACTTCCTCGGGCAGCTTGACAAAAAATTGCCACACCGCTGAGTAGGAAACTTTGCCCCCGATACTCCTCACTGGCTGACTGCTACTTCCTCCGTGCACACCGGCACCACTACTGGCCGTGGTGGTAGGCTGCAGTGGAGCTGGTGCTCTACTCCGTGGCCGTTTGCCTCCACTGACACTGCTGCGACCCTGCTGCCTCCTGGGCAACCCCACCGACTGTTTCGCTCGCTGCCAAGCTGGCACCCTCTTCTCCTGATGATGCGGAAGCAATAGCCTGATGACGACGAGGCAGCCAAGTGCGATCAACCTCCTCATCATCAATTAGGGTCTCCGCCTCACTACTAGCCCCCTCGGCTGCGTGTGGGTCAGGAGACAGACCTGTCTCTAGACCGGCTACCGAGCCACTCTCCTTGCCACTACTTCTTCGCCTGGCTGCTGAAGAGGCGGATGTCTCCCCCCCGTTCCTGACCGCCCTCTGTTAGCTCTTCCTCACTGTACAGTGGGGCTGAGCCCACAGCATGCGATACTTCGCTTGGTGAGGGAACACCAAAGGACAGGGGCAGGTAGAGGACACGTGATTTCAGTGGGCTTGGTCCCGGTCCATGCAACTAACGGTTGTGTCTGACGTACCCACCGACCGTTAGCTGTAGGTGTCAGAGGTGACCTGGGAAGAGGAAGACGACTGAGCCAACCAATCGATGACGGCAGGGTTGTCGGTGGAGACACGACCGCTGGATGACACGGGAGCACTGGCCTCTGGCTGCGAATAGTGCTGCCTCGACCCCTTCCTCTGCTGCCACGTCTGCTCGCTCCTAAAACATTGCCTCCTCTGCCACTCCTCTGCATGTTGTCTGACATACTCTTTAATTCAACGATTCTGTGTCCCTGAGTAACAATTCTGTGTCTGTCCCTGAGTAACAATTCTGTGTCCCTGAGTAACGTTTCTGTGGCCCTAAGTAACAGTTCTGTGGCCCTCAGTAACAATTCTGTGTCCCTCAGTAACAATTCTGTGTCTGTCCCTGAGTAACAATTCTGTGTCCCTGAGTAACAATTCTGTGTCCTTGAGTAACAATTCTGTGTCCCTGAGTAACAATTCTGTGTCCCTCAGTAACAATTCTGTGTCTGTCCCTGAGTAACAATTCTGTGTCCCTAAGTAACGTTTCTGTGGCCCTAAGTAACGGTTCTGTGGCCCTCAGTAACAATTCTGTGTTTGTCCCTAAGTAACAATTCTGTGGCCCTAAGTAACGTTTCTGTGGCCCTAAGTAACGTTTCTGTGGCCCTCAGTAACAATTCTGTATCCCTCAGTAACAATTCTGTGGCCCTAAGTAACGTTTCTGTGGCCCTAAGTAATGGTTCTGTGGCCCTCAGTAACAATCCTGTGTCCCTCAATAACAATTCTGTGTCTGTCCCTAAGTAACGATTCTGTGGCCCTAAGTAACGTTTCTGTGGCCCTAAGTAACGTTTCTGTGTCCCTAAGTAACGTTTCTGTGGCCCTAAGTAACGATTCTGTGGCCCTCAGTAACAATTCTGTGTCCCTCAATAACAATTCTGTGTCTGTCCCTAAGTAACGTTTCTGTGGCCCTAAGTAACGGTTCTGTGGCCCTAAGTAACGATTCTGTGGCCCTAAGTAACGTTTCTGTGGTCCTTAGTAACAATTCTGTGTCTGTCCCTAAGTAACGATTCTGTGGCCCTAACTAACGATTCTGTGGCCCTAACTCTCTCCCTGAATACAGCCAGTTCTGC